TATATATATATTCAACCATGCGCTGTGCATTGTCAGTTTCGATATAAGTTTTTAATAGGTCGCGCACACGGAACCCGTTTCTGTTCGAGCTGTTTAGTAATAGACAATTATTACCCTGAGTCTTGTTTGTATTCTTACATGAGCTTAGAAGAAATGGACATGCAAGATACGAGGCCAGCGCAAAATAGTGTCTAAATCCAGTATAGGTTTTGTTTAATCAATAAATCTAAGTTAAACGTGAATATTTCTTCTGCTGTGAACCTGCTATTAAATAAAATGAGCGGTAAGCCACTTAAATATTTTTAAACCAGTTTTATTTACTGTTAGTATTATTTTGTTTTTCTTCATTTTTGATATACAGCGACACTAATAAGCTTGTAAGGTATCGAGATTAATTTAATAAACAATTTAATCCGGCAGCAGAGATTCTGACAACGTGAAAATCTTAAGAATATAATGTCTTGAGTTTGAAGTGTATACAATATCCACGCGTTATGGATGGAACCGGAGCCAACCAGTACAATCCTGTTGTAAATCGCGCCCTCTAAACTTGGTGTACGGGTTTACTACCCCTGGTTGTCAGTTCATCTGTGGCCTCAAATGTATTATTCCTAAATATTATCCAATTTATGCATACTAATCTCTAACTCGCTGAAAACACGGTATCACGTAGATAGGTTTTAAATATTTATTTGGGTAACAATGTTCTACCATACAGCATATAACGTACGTGTGATGAATTAAATGAAGGTATTATACTTTGCAAATATGCGACAACCAACATTGGGTTCTCAAAATTAATTTTTTTTAGATACAAATGTTGTTTCAAATGCCAAAAGTTTAATAGCAATAATATTACTTTCTTGTTAATAGGTATTTTAAATATTGTTTAACTTGTGTAATGGTTTTCAATTTCTTTTATGTCTAGTAGGCATTTTTCATTTTTATTGCTGTTAAAAAATGTTTTCGTAAAAGTTTATGAAAGTTGGGGATGGTTCTTCACTGACTGTTTACTATAACTTTGAATCAAATCTTCTGATTATTTTACTCTTTTTTTTTTTGAGGTTATGCTTTTACTTGTGTGTTTATCAGCAATATTTCTCTAAAACAGCTGAATGGATTTGGACTATAATTGGTATACGTTTGGACCACGACCCAACTTAAAAGTGATTAGTTTTTGAGGGTCAAGGTCACGAAAATCAAAAACATCTCTATCTGTTAACATGGGGACCGATTTTTCACACTATTGTTACTCTATAACTCAGTCCAGTCACAAATGATCGAATTTTGATAAAACTTGGTGGACCTATGTAGAATATTATTCCACATTGCCCTGCCAAAAATAGTTGATAACACTGGACATACAGACACATTTTGGTAGTTTTTGAGAGCCGAGTATGATCAACGCCGCGTAGCGGAAGTATGCGCTCTACTGAACAAGTGCCCTTCTAGTTATTACTATATTATTCAAATACTTCAGAATTTATTGAAGGTTTATATTTTCAGCTAAAAAACACGTTTTCATAGGAATTACTAACACACTTAACTTTCAATAGGAAACTATGATTGTAATAAAGAATGCGTGGTCGTGGTTTTACACGTAGATTATAATGTATGGTAGCTATATAGAATGGACTGGGCGTGGCTTAATGGAAGCTAATCTTTACTAAATTGAATTTGCCACTGGATGTTTCTCACTAATTTTACTAACCGTGATCCGTTCATTTGTAAAAGCAAAACAATAATAACGTGGAGAAATTCATTTTAGATTAATTTTTAAAAAATATTTTAATGTGACGCACTCGTCTTACTAAAAAGCAGAAATGCTATGTATAAGTTTGTTGTTGTTGTTTTTGCATTTGTAAAACGCCCCTGTTTGATAGTTGTAGTCAAACTGTATTAAAATGACCCACCAGACTTTAGGGTCGTCACACTGGAAGAGTGTCGTAGAAGTGTCACGACCCAAACTCCATCGGAAATGGAGGGGGGGGGGAGGTATGTTAATAAAATCAGTTCATAAATGTCATTTAACACGTTTCCGACCTTGTAGAAAGTTCAGATTGTCACTAAGTAGGAATTGGTCAGCTGCAGAAAAACCGTGACCAGCCTTACTATTGCCAGTGGAGAAGAACGGGCAGGGAAAAATATAACAACTATAAGAAATATTAAAAATGTTTATTTGTATATATGCGATATTATATCATGATACCGTTTTATGCATTCCAGTAAAGTTCAATAGTCCCTCCGATCTAGTGTTTACAGACTCCCCGTATAGCTACAGGGTATAAATGTAGTAGCTATATATATTTTACAAGTATATACATAACGTGGTATGTTGATCACCATACACCATAGTGATCATACATACAATACCACTATTAATGACAACATTGTGGTAATGACATCAGGAGCAATAAGCTTGTTGTCATTGATTCCCAGGAGAGCATTATACACCAACTACTTGTTTCATTAAACTGTTTAAAATTGGACAGTATTGCTATTATGCAGATTTATGTCTATGATGGACTTAAAAAAAAACACTAAAGAAACAAGATTATTAAAAGGGGGGAATAGGGAACTTTTAAAAAAATATAGAAACAAGATGGGTAGCTTACATTGAAAATGCACTCGAAAAAAAAAATTAAACAAACGTGTTTAAGGTTTGAAACGTAGTGTTGACATTACTTCCTCAAGCTACACATCCTTATTTTGACTCCATGTCTAAAAGCTGTAATATTTAGGTGTGTCAAAATAGGGATTTGTAGCTTGAGGAAGTAATGTCAACACTACGTTTCAAACCTTAAGCTTGTTTCAAACATACTATTGGTGTGAATGTGCGTTGTTGTCACTATGAGAAAAGCCTATACACTGAATAGGTGAAGAAAAAAATGTCATTGGTCACTATTCAGTTCTTTATATAGCCGAATTGGACCTCCCTTAAACTTAGTATTCCGAAAATTGTTTAATTTCGAAGTCTAAGTTTATTTATTATATCTGTTTTTGTGCGGTTACATAATGTGAAGAGTGGCCAATGAAACTCTCTTCACTTCACCTATCCAGTGTATAAGTTCAAGTATTCTTTCTTCGTGGTATGAATATGAGAAGTTCAGTGTGCACACTTTTTGCAAATGTTGGTTGGGAAAAAAGGTAAAATTTGCTTTAAAATGGCCTATAAACTAACCTGTATGTTATCAATATTCACCGTTAGGGAAAGTAACTAAAAAAATAAGCTCGCTAAGTTCATTAGCGAACGGTGGACTAAGCACTTGCAATGCAAGCGACCATGGCTTACAGAACCTTAATTTGTCTCTAAGAAATTTTACAATGTATACTAATTCTTGAAAGCATTCCATATCAGCCATGAATGAGAGAGAACATCGATTAATAAAATAAAATAAATTTCCTTCCCTTCATCCGGACACTTGTTCTGTTAGTTCATTTCGAGAACGAGTGGTGTCGCTACTGCATCCGGTTCGTTCTCTCATGTTGTGTCATCCTTAAAGGAAACACACTTTCCAATGCCATGCGACCTACTTGTGTAATATGAGCAGTATCCCAATCTGAATATTACCTACTTGTACGAATTACTTACTTTTAAAGATCTAGGTAAACAATAATTACAGTGTGTATTATGTTGATATAACACGAAATCCATACCAAAAACACTTGAACGAGAAAAAAGTTTTACATGGAATCATGTGTAAACATATGCTACTAAGGTAAGTATAAGATTTACAATTTATATTAAAAATTATCTTTACGCACCTTCAAAATGAGTTAACTTCGTTATAAATAAATAAAAAAATAATCTCCATATTGAAAATAAAGGACAATCTCTAGGAGACTAGGTTTTTTTAATGTCTAACGTTTTTGTGGCATTTATTTTTAATAAAATGTATATAAACACTAAGTGCTAGGAACGTTAAATTCATAACGTGTATGTTTGTGTAATTGTATTTATTATTTTTGCCTTGAAATGAATAGTAAAATAAAAACTGAACATTTCCATAAATTTTTGTGATTACAATTATTAAACAGTACCATTCTTTTTATTGTAAGAATTGTAGAGTTAAAGATGCAATCTTTTCATGTGAAGAAATAGGTAACATGACGGTTCATAAATATGTTTCAACTTTCAGTGACGTTTTCTTCACTTTGGATAATTGTAAGGAAACTAACATTTGAATCGTTATATCTAAAAGGTAATTAAAATATTGTCATGCTTTCGTTTAAAGGTAAAATCTATATATCTAACATACAGAACACTACTCATGTGTGTGTGTGTATATATATCTTTCTATATTATATATTGTTTTCTCTTACTTCCAGAAGCGTCATTTACTAAAATATCCAGTTCCAACATGCTGACGGTTCGTTTCCTGTCGTTAAGAAACCTGCGGCGTCTGGTGTACCTCGGCTGTGTCTGGTTGTGTATCTGCTACTTAGTTTTCCGTGTGGCCCATCCTCAAAATGCCGTATCGTATTTGGCACACATACACAGAGGTTTGTTGCAAAAGCTCCCTTCTGAAGGACCAACGCAGCCATCTTTGAATGCATTGATTCCAGAAAATTTTCTCGATTTGATGCCTTTGGTTGATAAGTCACCCAGTCTAGGCGAAAAAGAACTGTTATTTTTTCTTTCCAACCGATCTAATCTACCCCTTGCTTACTGGGCTAAAAATCGAAATAAAGCAATTGGTGATAAAAATTGTGCTAAATTTCCCAGTTTATTCGATTTAGATTTCAACAATGTTTATTGGCAGAGGCTTCAAACTACGAACGGGACCTTCTATTTATACGCGGCGTATTATGATAACAGGATTCGAGCAGGAAGCACCGCAATAATCAGAATTTTAGCCATGGTGGATAAAATAAAACCCATTTCAACGACATGCCAACTGTGGTTCGATAAAGGAAAGTCGCCTGTTTTTGCCCAAGCTACTTATACCTACGCTTGGTACTCGAAGTGGGGCAACTACAAAGATGGCATCCTCCAACCCTTCATCGTTTCTTGTAAGCTCCCCAAGAAAGAAACCGAAGGTAGAATACCTGCAAGTGTGTCTCTTGTCCAGACCCGGTGCCAAAATCCAAATAACAATCTCAGGATTGTTAATAATCGTCCTCCAAAAAAACATGACTTTGCAGTATGTGTTAAAGGCTTGGATTTTCTGCAAGAGGACTTGAGTGTACGGTTAGTTGAATGGTTAGAAGTGTTAAACATACTTGGAGCAAAAAAAGTTTTTATGTATGAATTAGAAATTCATCCGAACATTTCCAAAGTCCTCAGTTATTACCAAAACAAAGGACTGGTAGAGCTGACGCCTATTACCTTACCTGGTAACCAACCAAATATACCAGGTTTTCGCCATCTTTATCTTAAATCCAAATTAACTCATAAACGTCAGAACGAAGTTATTCCATACAATGATTGTCTCTACCGAAATATCTACAGCTATGACTACTTAGTTTTGCTGGATGTAGACGAAGTCATTATGCCTGTCAAACACACAAATTGGCGGGAATTAATGGCCGAGGTTGTTCCAGCAGCTCTCAAACTGAAGAACTACACTCGAGCTAGCTACAACGTTCGAAATGTTTATTTTCTAGATGATCTTCAAGATGGAGAAGAACTACATCACGAAGCCCACGAACAAGGAATTCCTCCATACTTGCACATGTTACAGCACGTATATCGTTCTAAGAACTTTACCAAGCCTGGTTCTTACGTTAAATGTTTCCATAACACCGAACGGTCAGTGTCCCTTCACAATCACTTTCCTTTGAATTGCTTCGGTTCCTGCACCACGTACTCAATTCCAATAGAACTCGCCCAGTTGCAGCATTACAGAAAAGATTGTGTTGGCAGTTTGAAGAAAACGTGCAAAAGTGAATTTCGAGCTTACACTGTACGTGACACCACAATATGGCGGTACAAGAACGAACTCACACAGCGAGTAACCGAAGTGTTAAATAAATTGGGTTTTTTCCGTAGCTAGGGGAGAAGGTTTCTGAAGCAAATCAAGGCTAAAGATAAATCGAACGTCGCCATTTGATAATGGTGGTCAGCAATTAGTGTGATTTTAACAATCGTTCTCTAAATTATGTATACAGGGAGGTCCAAAACTCCCTGTACACACGTGAATTCGTCGATGAGCCAGCTCGTCATAAGCTTGGCCTGCTGGATATCTTGCACTGTCTTTCAGTAAACATTTTAGTGCCTTTTTTTCCCTGTTGTATATCTTGGAATCACCCATTGGTCATTACCTCTAAGTAATATTGTAGAAGAAACCTTAAGTAATTATCTTAATCTTTTAATTGTGCAACTAGAATTTAAAAACTATGTTAATCATTTCATGATTGTAAAAAAAAATTGTGAAATTAGGTGGTAAGTTGTAGCTGGATGTAGAATACATGAAATGTACAGATCAGAAGAATAAGATAAATCATGGTTCCTATGTTTCGATCGACTTTCTTCGGCTTGTTAGTAAATCTATAGATATATTTTTAGTTTTTTAATGATACGTATTTGTTTTCAAACTCTTGTTACCCATTAATCAGCATTCATCTAGCTTATAATATTGGAAAAATGCATATTAACAAACGAGCTTTTGAGTTTCAAACATATTCACAATATTGTTCTAAATGAAGAGTTCCTCTGATCGAAAGTTTTAAATTAATTGGATATAGTTGTCATGTGATTAAGTTAAGGTGCAATTTCACGTTTATTGATCGAAACGACCGCTAAGTTTGTTTGTTCTTGTTTTAACCGCATCAGCATAAGTGTACTTCTTGATACCATGTGTGCAGTTTCTATTAAACTAAGATGATCTGTTATCTTCTTTGTTAGTTTCACTTAAACTACCTATTTGAAAATGTTTGGCGAAACGTGTAGTTTTATTCGTTATGTATACGATTGTAATTTTTCATGTTCAAAATTAACTATATTTAGATTCAAGCATGGTAAATATGCATTCAGCCAAATGAAACATTTCCTTTCCCTAATATGGGATGTTTTAACATTCGTGTATTTCATTTGAACTCTCTTCTTCAAAATTCCTTTTGCCTAAGGATTTTATTTAATCGTATCACGTCCTAATTTGTAATACTTGTAGAAAAAAATTATCATATTTAATGATTCTATTTCGAATATGATTAGAAAACTTTTCATAACATGTACAACTTAATTACCAGATTAATTTTAGGCTGTTTAAATTTTATGTTCTATTTAAAGGCAAATTTTTGTATTAAACATGACGTTCGTAATTTTAAAACAATAACATTTAACTAGCTTTACGTATGTACTAATATCGACTAGACAACTTAGCTAAGAGTAATGTGGTTTTGAAAAAAAAATGTTTGAAATATAAAAATAATAACTGCTTGTAAATAGAAGAGTAGGTTAAATTTAATCTGGATACTTATTACTGTTTTTAATTACTAGTAATAAGTGATACTTGGCCATCTTATCGAAACTTAAGAATAATTAAAATCGAATATCGGAGCAGTTTTTCAAATATTAGTACAATGCTTTACGAAGATAATTCGATTTTTTTTAGTTTTATTAATTATAGGATTGTGTCAACACTCTGATTTTATTGATTTGGCATAAATTCACACATTTATATATATTAGTGTTAATAGTTAGCAATCAAATAATAAAATTTAATTTTTTTATTTATGTTTACTGTGTGGCTCATTTGTAACCGAGAGCAAAACAGTTTGTTTTTCGTTTGGTATTAATTTATCGTTTTTAGATGATGGGATTTCTTTCTTTAACTGTAACGCATTTTTTAAAATTGCGTTTATGAATACTCTTTCACAATAATCTAATATTTTGTTGTTGTTTTTCTATATAACGAAACACTACAATAATTGAATTGTTGTTTTTCTATATAACGAAACACTACAATAATTGAATTGTTTTTTCTTTTTATTATTTTCTACCGGTTTCGTAACTTCAAAGGTCATTCTTTAGATATAATTTTACAGAGAATTCTTAAGGCACATTTTGCTTGTATATATTGTATTTATCTGATTGAATTGCTGTGCTATTGATTTCCACCTCTGAGCTGCTTGTTAGTACTCTGTTTCAGTTGGTGTCGGAGACCATTACTTGTTTTGTCATGTCTAGTGTGCTTTAAAGTAAGAAATAATTATGATAAATCAACTGTTTAACAGCTGTTAATGAGAAACGAGTTGTAACTGTAGTTTAGTTACTTCTCTGTCTAGTTTTTTAATATTAAAAAAAATGCTAGCACAAAATCGAACTTAAAAAACATCAAAATGTTCAACATAAGCAGACTTGCTGGCCTTGTTGTTTTGTTCTTTCAAATAACGAAGTTCTGATATTGCGTCTTGATATAAATTTAGTGTTTTGTTTTTTAACAACACGAATAGAATTGAAGAAAATGTTCCAATATGATTAGTTCGACGATTAAAAAGAAAACTAATCTTTAACACTTCAACAAGTGCGGTATCTGTTTAATATTATTATTGTTATTCTTCATGGAAAAGTCTTAAGTCATTCCTGGTGGCCATTCCATCTACCCTGGAGCCAATACCGAGACAGCCCTCCCTCATTCAAACCTTAATGTTTTGTCCTTGGTGTCTATACCGAAACTCTCCCCCCCCCAAAAAAACTTAGATATTTTAACTCTGTAGCCTAGTTATCCCCCTAAACCTCTATTTCCCCCTGTAGCCTATATCGATACTATCCCCCCTCCAAACCTCGATGTGTTCCCCCTGGAATATATTTTGAGACTCCCGTAGCATGGATGGTGGGTGATAGGATGTTGTTGATGACTGCCTTCCCTCTAGGCAACAGTTCAAATTAGGGACAGCGGTAGATAGATATCCTCATTAGCTTTGCCATAAATACAAATACAGAACTTACTCTCTGTTTTAAAACTTAAATAACCTGTTTTGTATCAACATATAATAGCATTATAAACGTTTCAGAAAATATGATACTGGCAATAATCAGAAATCATCATATACGTATATAGGTCAGGGCTATGCGCCTGAAACCATTTTTTAAACACAACCTTGTAGTCAGATGCAGCACTGACGGCAACAAGCATCATGGAGGTAGGTCTAACCCCCAATTCAAGAAGATCGGCAATGGGATTTGGGGGTGAAGGGGGTATTGCACTCCTCATAAACAACTAGAACCGTCTATATAGCTGAGATATAACTTGAAGTAAAATAAAACCACTGCTTATATGTTTACGTTTTTAATCCTCCTCTTCCCTTCCACTAATCCCATTTTACTTCCTTGGCTAAGCATAACCTAATGCTTAGCGCACCGGATTATGGATCCTTCGGTTCGTGGTTCGTTTCACAGCGCCGAAAATTGTCGCGCTTCATATGTTAGGGACGTTATAAAAGAAACGGTCAAAGCCCAGTATTCGATTATAAAGTGGTCAACTAGTTGGTGGTGAGAGTTTAGTTAGCTGCTTTCCATTTAGTCTACCACTTCAAAATTAGGGACAGATGACGCATATGGTTCTTGTGTAGCTTTGCGCGAATATCCGAAACAAGCATCCCTCCCCTTTCCCAGAATCGGGTGTAGTTTTAAACACATTTTTCTATTTCGGAAATACTTACTCACCATGCTGCTTGTGTGTCCGTTAGTTACAAGATTCCTACTTTTATGTATACTACACGACGAAAAAGTTCAAACCAACATACCGTCAATATTGCAATTAATTTCGTTAGTTACAGAAGAGATCCTTCATACAATTTACTTAGTAAATGGATGATTTTACTCAAGTTTTTGGCCATTAGGCTATTTAATCCGAATATTGTAACGAGCGAAAGCATAAAACTACTCATCGTGATGCAATATATGAAAAGTGTATAAATAAATTGGCAAGTTGAGGGATAATATGGACATTTTCTTAAAATTCAGAAGAAAGCCTTTATTCACTTCTATAACATGCACGTAGAGCACAAGGTTCGTTCTATTGTGTGATAAACTGTGTAGATTAGCCAGTTTTCCAATAAGCTAGCAGACTTATTTGATTCCAAATTTTCCTTTTGAACACTATTTAATGTAGTCGCTACTATATAGAAAAACAAGAAAAATATATTTGTAAGTACAAGAAAATAAATTTCAGTTATGTCCATTACGAATTATTTCCCGCCAAAACACCCACTCAATTGTCAGTTTCGAAGTTTAAAAAAAAAACCTCTCGTGTTTTCAACTATAAGTCGGTTCTTTCACGCAAGAAAACGGAACTCAGAATTGATTAAAACGGTAAGTTTATTTCCACTGTCAAACTTCTATAATGTAATCATGAATTATACACAAGAACGTGTCAATTGTCGTTTAAAATATGATGTGCAATTTATTTATATATTTTTTCATTGTTCTTGTCTCCAGTAATTATGCATGAGTAGTTGAATATACTTACAAACTAAATAAATAGAAGTTTAACACACGTTTTTATTCTCCATACTTGTGTTTAATTAGTAAAAAGAAGCGGAGTTATTACAAAGATAATATTATTGTTCTTTATTTTTTATTTCTTAAATATATTATAAATGAGTGAGGTTAATCTTGGAAAATAATGAAAGTTTAACATTATTTCACTGTGAATAATAATCAAAAATAAAGGAGTGGATACTTAAACCTAATACACCAGCATCATTTGTGTTGGAAACGTATAAACATTTACCTTAAAAACGAGGGAGACGCGGATACACTGTGTCAATAATATTTCTTCTAAAGGGTGTGGTCTTAAACAGATTAAATCACCGAGGCAAACTTCAAGTTTGGAAAATAACAGAATAAACAAATTAAAGAATTCCCATTGACTGTTCATGTTGCTGAGTTTCCAGCGGTTACCAATTGACGAAAGGTTATTTTTTTCCATAGTAAAGATACACAAGCAGATTAGAATGACGTGGCTTCACTCTACGATTATTATTTTTTCCGACAAAAATAGGCAAATAATTAAAAGGAAAAATAGACAAAATAGCTTTTCGGGAGTAGGCGACATTTGTGTAAAAGTGAAATATTTATTAGTTGCAGAAATGTTAGATGTTTATTATTACTTAGGTTTGTGTTAATCTGCTTTAATTCGAATTATATTGTTTATTTACGTGATATAACATATTGTAACGTTTCGGAAATAAGTTTCATTTCAAAATAAAATTATTGTTATGACAACTTGCCTTGGTCTTATTTTTGTACACATTTCCCCCCTCCCTTTTTTTGTAAGAAAATGACTGCATATTAAACATGCAGAATAATTGCACAAACATTACTAACATAATTTTAGTGATGAGACTGAGCTTATTAGAATTATAGATATATAAGATAATACATTTTGGTCATGGACACTAGGTTAGCACTTAACAGAGCCAGATTTTAAACATTCGCAGAAATTTTCTGTGGTTAAGCCTAATTTTTTATCTCTGATTTCTGACTTGGATATAGAAATGTATTTTGTTACGTAGCAACTTCTGATGGAGGATTTTTTCACATTTCAATCTTAATAGACAAAACTACTGGAATATATAAAAGCATTATTTTCACCGTTACTCGCGTGAAGGTTAAAAAGTGGGTAAAACTATTTGGAACAGTTTATCGGGTAAACCGTCAGCCCGCCAGTGACTTGGCAGTAAGTCTACAGACTTACAACGCTAATAATCGGGTTCGGGTACCCGTGGTGGATCCAGCATACATAGTCCATTGAGGAGTAAGTTTGAGGTACCCGTGGTGGATCCAGCATACATAGTCCATTGAGGAGTAAGTTTGAGGTACCCGTGGTGGATCCAGCATACATAGTCCATTGAGAAGTAAGTTTGAGGTACCCATGGTGGATCTAGCAACCATAGTATATTGAGGAGTAAGTTTGAGGTACCCGTGGTGGATCCAGCATACATAGTCCATTAAGGAGTAAGTTTGAGGTACCCGTGGTGGATCTAGCAACCATAGTCTATTGAGGAGTAAGTTTGTGCTTAACTAAAAACAAACAAAACTCAAACCGTGTAAATCCGAGCATAATATTTTGCATAACTGCATGAGGGTTTATCAGAAATGTATTTCACTGTTTCTGAAGATGACACAGTGGACACTCCTATGTTAACTCTTAAGTGTATCACCATTATATTTTTATTAGTGCATCCATCCTGATACGGATATTAAAACATTGTTTAATATAACATCTTTCCAGGAGTCGTTGGAATATCTGTTGAAATGGTATTTTTCAGTTGAGGAATGGTTTCTGGGTTATAAGGACAGACTCGCATCTTCAGAAAGTTCCCCGTGTAGTATTCAGCCTCGCAAATGGCAAGAGGACATTTTGATGACACATTTCATCACTAAGATCTATTGTTCTAACCATCATTTCATTTTGTGATTACCATTACTAACGATAGAATCTAACCGTTGTTCAATCCGGCATGGCCAGGTGGTTAGGGCGCTTGACTCGCAATCTGAGGGTCGCGGGTTCGATTCCCCGTCCCACCAAACATGCTCGCTCCCTTTCAGCCGGTGGAGCGTTATAATGTGACGGTCAATCCCATTATTCGTTGGTAAAAGAGTAGCCCAGGAGTTGGCGATGGGTGGTGATGACTAGCTGCCTTCCCTCTAGTCTTACACTGCTAAATTAGGGACGGCTAGAGCAGATAGCTCTCGTGTAGCTTTGCGCGAAACTCAAAACAAACCATAAAATCAATCCATCCTTTGCTTGTATATAGCCTAATATTTCAAGTACGATAGTGCCATTTGCAGAACTAAAAGTGGAAGAACAATTGAATGTATACACAAAATAATTTACCCGTATGCTGGACAGTTCGTGTTAGAGACTGCTCCAAGTACCAGTATATCTTTATCTCAACCACTTCATGCTTAAACCACTTAAAGCTAGTTCCTGGTGGGCCAGGGGTTCGATTCTCTGTGGTAGAAAGAGTGCAGACAGACCATTGTGTAACTTTACACTTAGAAATCAAGAAGAAGCCATGTTTATATTGACACTCCTGGGTTTATTTTTGCTTAGGAGATTGTAGATGGATAATGAAGGCGTATTTTGAACTACGGTACAAAAATTATAAATTTCCATTTTTTTTTCCAACTGAGACTTTTGGAATGAAAAGTTGCAAACCGGAACTTGTAAACATAAACGAACTTGTACACTTGCAAATTATTTTGTCTGCATATCGTATGATGACAAGCAAGAGCAAAACTTAAACAATTCTGTAAGGTCACGTACGGGTCAAAATATCGAGTGGTTATTCTATTTGCAGCTTGTAAGTTGACTTAAATGGCTCCAGCGATGAAAATTACTCAGTTATTCTTCTTGTCATCACACACACACACACAAATACACTCGCATCGAATGTTACCTATTATTTCCTCCTCCTCCTCCTTTTCTTAATTACCAGTGTTAAATTATTTAAATATGGACTTTACTTGAGGATTTGTCGTCTTGGCTCAGTGCCACTTTACAAAGCTATAGTAGAGGTATGAAGGATTTTTTTTGTTGTATTGTAAAAAAAATAACACTATCGTATGTTGCTTAATAAAACTGGGTAAGGGTATAAATGGAGGCGGCTGGTAATTTAATAAAATCGCAAAAGTAAGCACATTTTGAGTCAAAGATACCCTTTGTAACGGTGGGTGCTGCTGCTGACTGGTTGCCTTCAGTCTGATCAGGAGCTCAAAAATTTAGGCTATGCTTGACTCCTAGGGCCCTCTGGCCTAGCCGTTTAGCCCACGTACACATAAAGTGTCATTCAGGTTGAAAATATAAAGGTCTGGACTATTAAGTTTCAAAATATGCAAGTATTTATTCAGAAATGCAAAAACGTCGCTAAACAGGCTAAAACCCTAGAAAACAAAACGCCAAAAAAAGTATTATACGTGGAATATGACGTAGAATTCGAAACCTAAAGTAAAATGGGTTATATCGGTGAAAGTTCGTCATAGAAGGTGCATAATGTTGTAAAGATGTCAGCTTAGAAACTCGTTGTTCTAACATGTATTTTTTGGGGAGTTGGGGGGATCTGTGCTATTTATATTTGCACTAAGAAATAATACAAAGTATCATTATTCAGTAGACGTGGCAGCAAGATTAGCATTTTCCCATTTTTTCTTTGCTTATCTACAATGTCCGATATTAATAGTTTCATTTTGAGTTCACTTACAAATTAAGTATTATTTTATTACAAGTTACAGCTTTTACCTATCATCTTAGTCTTATTTCATTACGTATAAATGACTAACCTGATTCTTCAATACCAAGAAGTAGCACCTCAAGTAAAACACTAAAACTACAAGAAGCTATCTAAAATCCGTAAAGAACAGAGAAATTATACATATCTTTAATCTCTTTTAATCAAAGTTATTTAATTTCCGTATCACGAATCCGACAAAAGGCAGCCAAGCCTAATGTTACCATTAAACAACGCAAGTCTCACCGAAATAATCCGCGTATATTATGGTGTGGGATATACAAGATTGTTTAGTGTAGGCATTGTTATTTAATATATTTTGTGAGATAATATTTCATGATTGTTTAGTTTTTTAATAACAAGAAAGTTAAAAGCAATTATTTTAAGGGCGATAGTTATGACAAGTTTGGTTACATAACTCGGTAAGAGTCATACGTTGTGTTTGTAATTCATCGATGTCGAGGCTATAGAAATAACGAAAGTGAAGTCAAGTGAACGAGAAGTTCAGTCAGTAAAAAGTTAAAGAACCTGAAGTTAGCCGTCGTGGGAGTGAATAGCCTTACCGGTTGATATGTTAAAGTGAGATTAACAGTTTGATAGAGGTAAGGAGAATAATTTGTTTTGTCAAAGGGTGTTCTAAGCTAATTGAACCCGTCTATGTGGACTTTAACGGAAAGAATACAAGTATTAGAAGTTCGGGATACAACTATGGTAACCCACGAGGCAACTTAAGTGAACTATTCACCGATACTATTGTGATAAAAGTAGAGAAAAATAGTTCAACTTGTCAATTGGATTCTAAAGCAATTGAATTATCATAAGTAAACTTTTGACAAGAAGAAGAGAACTGTATAGTGTTTAAGATACAACTGTGATTTTCATAGTGTAAAGAATTTTTACATACCTTTATCTTGTTTTGAATATATTATTTTAAAACAAGTGGGGTGCGTGCTGTTCGTTTATTGTTCACATGTATCGCCAACAAGTCACAGACACC